GGAAGACAAAATGTGTTTTACTGAGAAAAAACAAGATTTGGTTTTTAAAAAGCCTTTTTCCAAAAGGTACATCTGGAAAAAGGGGGGTCGTCTTATAATCAGGGTCGTCTTATATTCGGGCCAATACGGTATATATATATATAGTGGCGAGTATCCCGGGTCCAGATCAGCATCGCCCTGGAAACGCCGCTTACACACTGATCATACAATCACAACACCTGTGCGTGATGAGTGGCGCACCTGGAGCTCGTTCCCGCCGGCCATAAAAGCCAGGAGGAGAGGCACACAGGGAGAGTTGAAACGGAGCTCCAGGCTAAATTAATGCTCGTTTCTCCGTTCACAGAATCAGACGGCACCCCAGGAGAGGGATCTTCACCACAACACTTCACCCCACGAGCACTGAGTGGAGACTTGCACCGAGCACCATTCACCTGAGCATGTGTGATCAGTGTGTGGGTCAATAAATCACCATCCGGGGCACTTTCTAGCAGTACCGAGTCTGTGCTCTCATTCACCCTGCGACAATATATATGTATACATGTACAGTGGTGTGAAAAAGTGTTGGCCCCCTTCCTGATTTCATCTTTCCCAAAAAGATTCATGGCTGTATTAGATCAAAAGGGTGCTTCTGCTAAATACTGAGCAAAGGGTCTGAATACTTAGGACGATGTGATATTTCAGTTTTTCTTTTTTAATAAATCTGCAAAAATGTCAACAATTCTGTGTTTTTCTGTCAATATGGGGTGCTGTGTGTACATTAATGAGGAAAAAAAATTAACTTAAATGATTTTAGCAAATGGCTGCAATATAACAAAGAGTGAAAAATTTAAGGGGGTCTGAATACTTTCCGTACCCACTGTATATATATATATATATATACATATACATATATTGCGGGAATGTTGTAACAGTATGTCTAAGTAAGACGATAAATTCTTATTTCAGAAGGAAAATTTTATTTTTCATGAAAGTTTGACTCACTTAGCAGTCATGCGTTTTAGCCTCTCTGAGTCTGTCCCTCTTCGTTTTTTGTTCTCGAGAGCCAGAAAGTTCTCCTTCTGCAAGGTCTCCCATTTCACCAGCTTGTTAGCATCTCTACCCTTCAACTCCACCGCTATTATAAAAGGGAAATGCACACAATTTGTTACTTTACATCACATTTCATCTTCAACAAATCAGCTTGCTGAACTGTAATCATTTTCTAACTTTACCAAATCGGTGGATTTTGGTGGATGGCACTTTGCGCAAGTTTCTTTTGATTAAGAGGTTGATGTGGGATAGGATGATAAAGGGTGGAGCAAGAGTTGGACGTGAATGATACTCCACTATCAGATTGTACCGCTGAAACTTCCAGTATGTGTCGCTGCGCTCTTGAACCTTAGAGAAGGTATAGCTGCAGAAACAGACACAACAAGAAGAGAAATACATAGATGGATGAATAATTTGATGCACATATACAGCAGATGGATGAATAGACAAACAAATACCTGAATGTGGCGATGAGCAGGTTGACTAGTAGGATGTTGGTGACTAGTAAGAAGATGACCAGCAAAATGACCACAAGCCAGTTGTGGCTAGTGTCTCTACATGGCTCTTTCCCTTCATTAATCAGTGTCAGATTATCTGTGCAGTCTCTATCCCAATACTTCCCAGCTTAACACACACACAGACACAATATAGTTAGTGAGTGATAACAAAAAGTTGTAAAATATTATTCGTTTTCAAGTTAAAGGAACTGTTCACCCAATAATGAATATTTGCTGAAAATGTACACACCCTCAGGCCATCCAAGATGTTAGATGAGTGTTTCATCATTAGAAAAGATTTGGAGAAACTTTGCATTGCATCACTTGCTCACCAATGGATCCTCTGCAGTGAATGGGTGCCGTCAGAATGAGAGTCCAAACAGCTGATAAAAACATCACAATAATCCACAAGTAATCCACACCACTCCAGTCCATAAATTAATGACTTTTGAAGCGAAAAGCTGTGTGTTTATTATAAATAAATCCATCATTAAGATGTTTTAACTTCAAACCTTTGCTCCTGGTCAAAATAATCTATAATATTGCTTTCTCCAGTGAAAAAGTTGTCTTGTCCGAATCAGGAGAGAAATATGCACAAATAAAGCATCGTTTACAAGCAAAAACAGTCCTAACACACAAATATGTCAGTGGATTTTGATGTGAGAGGACAAAAGGGTGGACTTTTTCACTGGAAGAATCGTTAATATGAACTATGATTTAAAGGTAAAACACCCTAATGATGGATTTGTTTCTTTCAAACATGCATATTTTCGCTTCACAAGACATTCATTGATTGACTGGTGAGTGGTGTGGATTACTTGTGGATTATTGTGATGTTTTTATCAGCTGTTTGGACTCTCATTCTGACGGCACCCATTCACTGCAGAGGATCCTTTGGTGAACAAGTGATGCAATGCTACATTTCTCCAAATCTATTCTGATAAAGAAACAAGCTCATCTATCATTTTGGATGGCCTGAGGGTGAGAACATTTTCAGCAAAGTTTCCTTTTTAGGTGAACTATTTCTTTTATGTGTAAATCATGTGTCCATACTGTCTATTTCTTCCACAGGAATCTGTCCAAATATATGCAAATATGGTCTGTACAAGACTCGTCGAAACGCTCTATCAGGGCTTGGGTCGTATTGGTATAGTAGAGCTTGATTGGCCACTCCATACGCACTCAGCCACACCGCCAGGAAGAATAAGAAGAAGAACGCATCCTTTATCTGTGGTTCATTCGTATGAAACAGAAAGAGAAGTGAGATGTGAAAGGTCTCCAGCTGCTTGTGAAATATTGATGAAATCCTAAAATGTTGTGAAATGTGTCGTGAAATCCGAAAATTTGATCATTTAATCTTTTTTATATCTGTAAAATGATTGACACTCAATGGGCTTTTAGTGGTTTACAAGTCTTTTAGGCTTGAAGTGCTTTTAAAAGCATGAGATGAATCTATGTTTTTTAGGACGGTTGCTTGGAAAGGTCTTGGTTTTATGGCAGTGCATTGCGTGCATACTGATTGCTGGATGCCATCTATAGAGCTTCATTTGCACTGAATCTCTCTGATTGTCTCACCATTTTGCCAAGTATGATTATTTTGGGACCCAGCTGTCTGTGAATTGCGAAAATGTGAATGAGTCGCAGCGTGAAGACCATGTAGTCCACACACAGTATACCACGTCCCATGTTGAAAGACCAACTGAACATCCTGAGACAGACACAAAAGTACACACACACACAGATGATTACACAAAAATATAGTAGAATGCACACCACTAGGGTATGATGAATATTTAGTAAATGCTAACTGCTAAGTTGTGACACCTCAGCCTGTTATTAGAACCCTTACGCTCACCAAGGCTGCATTTATTTAATGAAAAATACAGTAAAAACAGTAATATTTTGAACTAATATTAGAATTTAAAGTAACTGTTTTCTATTAAAATATATTAAAAAATTTTCCTGTGATGTAAAGCTGAATTTTCAGCATCATTACTCCAGTCTTCAGTGTCACATGATCCTTCAGAAATCATTCTAATATGCTGATTTGCTGCTCAGAAAACATTTCTTATTATTACCAATGTTGAAAAGAGTTGCTAAATACTTTTGTGGAAACATACAGTTTATCTAAGGTGATTTTGGAAGTTTTTTTAAACATTCGTTTATTATTTAATTGGTTCCACTTTGTTTGCTGATTTTTACTTTATTTAAACTTTGTGTCATTTATTTATTTTATTTGACATCAAGGTGTATGCCGTGCCTCCAAGCTTTCTTACTCGTTTGGCTAAAAAACGTTCTATGTTTCTTATTTATTTGGTTATACATTATAGCATTTATTTGATCAAAAATACAGTAAAAACAGTAATATTTTGAACTAATATTAGAATTTAAAGTAACTGTTTTCTATTAAAATATATTAAAAAATTTTCCTGTGATGTAAAGCTGAATTTTCAGCATCATTACTCCAGTCTTCAGTGTCACATGATCCTTCAGAAATCATTCTAATATGCTGATTTGCTGCTCAGAAAACATTTCTTATTATTACCAATGTTGAAAAGAGTTGCTAAATACTTTTGTGGAAACATACAGGGCTGTCAAGCATTACCTGCAGCACAAACCAGCGATGAAGAGGGAGATGGCAAGGACATCAAACTTATTCCACACATCTTGAACATATAGCATCAACCTCTGAGAAAACGTCTTACTGCCCACAATGAATGTCTGGGAGTGAAAGAGAACAGAGTGGAAGAAATGGATGGATTAATCATTATATGATTTATTGTACAAGCAAAGAAATGCAGCACCTACCTCTCGAATCTCCTCGCACACGATCGTGAACACCCAGAAATACAGCACATACTCAGAAACGGCAGGGCCTTCGGGGGGAGGCTGCTTGAAGTCGACCAATAGCACATAGGCGTACAGAAACAGGAAGACGAAGTACATCACAAGGTTGCCGATGAATGAAGAGACGGGGGCGTACCAGTACTGCTTCCAGCGGGAAACCCAAAAGGGCCACTTCTTGGATTGGGAATTTATAGCAGTACCTGCTTACAGGAAGGAGTAAACATGGCAAGGCAATAACAAAGACAGATTCCAGTCAACCCGATCAAGGTAAAGGACCAAAAAAATCATTAATGAAATTCCGGTGGGTTTAAAAATCAACAGTCAGACCTTTTGTCAGTCGTCTGATGTTATTTGAGTCCTCGTGATCGCCTTCACTGCGAAGTATCGTAAGAAGATAATAGATAAAGACAAGTTTGTCTACAGAGATCTTATATTCATGCATGATGTATCAAATAAAACCTAATTTACTGGTGCTTGATGTCAGCGAAGGAGAAGACAGTCTCTCCGTAATGACAGTCTGTTGCTGAGGATGGAGGTGCCATCACTGACTCTTCTGTATTCTCTGCTTTCCTGTGAGGAAGATTACTTAATCATTCTTACTATGCAGTACATTTTCAACTTGTAGCATACTGGATAAAATGTTAACTCACAATCACATTAGGCTTGCCGCGATAGACGGTGCTGACGGTGATACCGGTGTTAAGCCGAGCTATTTAAAAGCGAAGGAAAGCGAGGAAAAGAGGGAAAATTCAAACAAACTAAAAACTAACAATTGCTTTACTCCGAATTGTCGCTATTTGAAAGTGTAAGTAAAATGCACACGCCGCTTTTACAAGCTATTTAAACCGCTAATTCGAAAGTGAAAGTAAAATGCGCACGGCGCTTTTAAGCTATTTAAAAGCGAAGGAAAGCGAGGAAAAGAGGGAAAATTCAAACAAACTAAAAACGAACAATTGCTTTACTCCGAATTGTCGCTATTTGAAAGTGTAAGTAAAATGCGCACGCCGCTTTTACAAGCTATTTAAAAGCTAAGGAAAGCGAGGAAAAGAGGGAACGCCCCCGCCCCCGCGGTGATACCGGTATTACCAGTGTTGTCACACATCGATTAACCGGTGGGAAAATTTCCTCACCGTTACAACCCTAAATCACATCCCATCACTGGGTGAAGCATTAACTTTTAACATGAAGAACTGGAAATTTAAGACATTTTCATTGGACACGTGTTGCTTATTTTATTTTATTTTTTTGTAATTAAAAATCTAATTTAACCCTTACTGTAATATTTGACACAGATGAGTGTTAACAACTTACAAAAAAAAAAAAAAAAAAAAGAATCTTATGTTTGTTCAAAATGCCTTTGGTTTCCACACAATATAACAAAAATAAGTAAAACTTTATATTTGTTTATATTTTTGGAATGTCAAAAAGTTTGTACTCCGGTTCTATTTGGGTCAAATTTGCGCAAATATTAGCAATGGATTTTAAAAATTCTGTTATGATTTGTGGCATTAGTTGGTTTGTATCTTCTATCCTGTCAAATAAAATTAACCAAATTGGTATGATGATACAAAGTTTTTAAATATGGTTTTAAAAGGTAAGTTACCGCTCAATAAGTTAATTTTATCTCTTTATTTCCACCCTATTAAGCATCCAGTTAATTTTCTATTTTCTTTAATGTCTAAGAGTTTTTCAATAAACTCTTCCATTTAAAAAAAATCGATTATTTCATGTCAGTCTTCACAGGGTTAAACAGGACATTATAGTAAATGCAAAAAAATAAAGGAAGTGCAGCATAGTGATAATGTGAGGAAAGATGCGAGGAAATTTGCATCGCTGATGTACTGACTTGAAATCAATGAGGTTGGTGTAGAGGAGAGGAGGAATGATCATTGTCAACACGAGCTTCCACAGCTCAGTTCCTCTTTCCATGTCACCCCACCAGATCTGAGACAGCAGGGACTAAAAAAAAAAAAAAAGAGACCATATAAGAAAAACACTCACCTTATTTCAAAAGAAAAGTCTATCTGCATGCCGACAGACCTGTACTCCATCGTGGCTGAAGAAAAAACGGGCGTCAGCAGCCATGGCCATCTTCAGACAGGTGGCGTCACCCCAAAGATGAGACTTGCGGATCAGTAGCTTATAGGAATAACCTGCTTTGGTTTGGTAGCATGTGCTAAACACATCTGTCAAAACAGTTAGTGGATAGAAGCTTAAACTTTTTTTATCACTGGTTTTATAAGATTCCAAAAGCAAGGACATCCTACCATGAGCCATACACTCAAACTTCATGGCCAACTCCTTCATGGATAGCTTAACTTCTGTCTCAATCTCCAGTTTAGACAACTCCCTCAATAGTTTACATCCTCCCAGAGCCGTCAGAACCGACTCACCGCACTGAGAGAGAAGAGCGGCACAGATGAGGATGATGCTGCAGGAATATTTCCATCTCAGAACAGATTATCTAAATATCACAATACAATTTTAATAAAAATGTAATAATAAAGGTTTGTTTTTACAGTAGAAACTTTTTTTGTTTGTTTCTTTAGCGGGAAGAACATTTAAAAAATCTAAGGAACCTTTTTCCACTAAAAAAACAAAAACATTTTGCACAATGGAACGGTTCCATGGATGTTAAATGCTCTTAACGAAACCATATATGCCAATAAAGAACCTTTATTTTATAATGTATTTATGGGTTGCTTCTAACAATATAAATCTTTGCTATCACTTCTTAACAATTTAACACATCTTTGCTGAATAAAAGTTTCAATTTCTTTCAAAAAAAGAAAATAAAAATGTACTGACCCCAAACTTTTGAACTGTAGTGTATGTTGTTAGAAAAGATTTCTATTTTAAATAAATGCTCTTGTCTTTAATATATATATATGTATTTGAATGATTTACTATTAAGTTGAAAATAAAACACAAAAAAATTAAATTATTCATTTTAATTGCTAAAAGTGAATTTTTGCATTAACATTATAACGTCAAGTCAAATTTATTTGTATGACACTTTTGATAATACGCATTGTTTCAAAGCAGCTTTATAGAAAATCATATGATGTTAATAGTTATAATATCTTAACATCTTCATGCTTTTTAATCGTATTTAGCCGATTAGAGCTGGGTAATTATATAGTTACATTTTGCGATGATACAAGCAGTTGAGATTTGTTATATAATATATATATAACTTGATGCATAATTTAAGTGTACTGTATATATGCAGATGAAGGTGTACATACATATGTATCTAACTTTATATAACGAGTTAGGCGATAGAAGTTTCATTTTAAAACAATTTTAAAAAATCAAGCAGTTGAGATTTGTTATACAGCACATATCACTTTACATGAGTAAACTATGTATGTGGATAAAGTTGGATATAATACATATCCAACTTTATAAATAGAGCTGTGCGATTTTACAGTTTACATTTTGCGATGATATAGACAATGACAAAGCCGTAATGTACGAATGGAAAATGTATATTTATTTACTTTATACAGTTAATAAATGATTTGTATTTATTTGAACTAATACTAATATGTATTTATTAACTTTAAGCAAGTGTTCAAATGTAGCCTAAATTTAAAAACAGGGGAAATTAGTATGATCAAATAAATATCCAATACCGCTCCATAATGATACAATATAATATCTCTAAAATCAGCCCATAACCGATATATAGTGCATCCCTACAGCAACTCATCAGAAGCATGTTACCATTTCCCAGCAGAAGATCGCCATCTCACTATGGTTCTGCAGCACCGCCCAGAGGAAGAGACATAACCACGGGTGCTTACACATGACTTTCCGATACCTGCAATCCTCCTTTAGGACCGCACATACTTTCTGAAGGGTGGTATTCAAAGACAACAACATTCTATTTTTAGATACTGAGCAGACAATGCAAAGCATGAATTTTCAGATTAGACAGAACTAAAGTGAGGTCTGGTACCTTCAGAGCTTTTCTTCTGGTAGATGCTGCGTCCACTTTGAGCACAGACCTATAGAAGGGCTGGCATACCTCTCCCAATAGATCCTCCAGCAGCTGACACACCTACAGTAGGATGAGAAATCAGTGACATTCACAAAAGCACATATTCATGCATTGTTTTCAGTCACATGACTTGTGTGCAAAACATCCATAGAACTGCAGCTCTTCAGTCAATTTTCCATCTGCTATAAGCCACGGATATTTAGATCATCTCTCAAAAGGTGAAAAGCAAAGATATGTGAAGTTTTGAGCACTTGCGTTCCATTGCATTATAATCACTTAAAGGCAGAGTAAGTGATTTCTGGTAGCCAATGTTTATATTTGAAATCACCAAAACAAACACGCCCCTACCCCAAAAGGGTCTTGCCCCTATTTTGATAGCTCCGCCCCACATATATACGTACGCAACCCAGGCAACGATTGGTTCTGTGAAACAAAGCAAAACCAATGTTACACCGTGTCTACGGACGTGAGCGGCGCGGCGCAACAAATCCCCGACAGAAAGCTGCTGCCGGGTTCTATTTATGACGTGCTGACAATGTTGTTTGATCGCGTCCAGTGTAGGCAGACTTTAGCTGTTGTAGACACGGTGTTACTCACCTATTGAGAAGAAACAAAGCAACCTCGGCGTCCGATCGCAGGCCTCCGCTCCTTGAGTTCTCTCCAGCGCTGGAAAGCTGATCCGATATTTACACGGGTCCTACTTCTTGCCTTATCGTTCCGCAGACGGTTTCCTCTTTTGTTTTTTTATCCGCCATCTCTTATCTTTCTGTCGCTCGGCTCGGCTAATGTCCGTCCCATGCGCTGAAAGCTCTCTCCTCCACATCACGAGTAGACACGCCCCTTATTGCTGATTGGCTACAAGTTTGTTTTGCGATTCGGCCCGAATCAGTTTTCTAAAGCGTTTTTGAAAAATCACATACCCTGCCTTTAAAACGTGCGTAATATAAAATTCAGAATACACCTTATTGATGATGTATATGATAAACAGACAAGCATGATGATGAGCTCAGAATATGAACATATGAATGCACTAAACGGCATGTTAAGAATATTCTTAAAGGAATCGTTCAAATGAAAATTTCTTGATTATTTACTCACCCCCAGGTCATCCAAGACGTACATGACTTTCTTTCTTCAGCCGAAGAGAAAATTAATGTTTTGGAGGAAAACATACTTTTTCTCCATCGTACGCAAGCATACGGAGCTTAACGTAGTCCATTTTTGACACTCCAAAATCCATATTTAGGCAGCTTCAGAGTAATCCACATAACCCAACCTGACAAATAAGGGTCTTCTTTAGTGAAACGATGTCATATGCAGAATTTTTTTTAAAAGTATATACTTTTTTATCTAGAAATGTTCGCTTTGGTTCAGCTAGGTTTAGTTCGCGACCTCTTGCATGATGTATACACGTTAGGAAGTTCATGCATGAGGTGGCAAAAAGCGCTCCATTGTTGACAAGAGGAACTTGCAAATACTAAATATTAAGCGCCCTTCACACTGTAAAACAGTCCAAAGCATCTTTGTGGAATGATTTTGAAGTTGGAGGAAAAGAGATGGAGTTTTTCACCCAAAACTACTTCTTTGAACCCGAGTACAAGGATGAAGAACTTTGATAGAGGGGGCTGACCGTTGTGGAACAAGCCTCAAGAGCCAGAATACACAGACCAATCATTAAATTGACACAAATACTAATATATAGCAACTTTTAGACAGGTGCCCTTCTTCACAGTTCTTGCCGCCTCTTGCGTGACCTTCCAAACAACCTTCTGGGTGTGAACTAAACCGAGCTGGACCAAGGCAAGCATTTGTAGTTAAAAAGTATATAATTTTTAATTTTTGTTCTGAACATTACTGATCATTTCTCCAAGCTGGATTACTTTAAAGCTGTCTGTGGATTTTTGACTGTCAAAATGGTGTCATTAGATGGAGAAAAATCCTGGAATGATTTCTTCTAAAGCCTTAATATCACTTTGGCTGAAGAAAATAAGGTGGGTGTTACTATGAATTGGTGACAGACTAATTAATCTTGCAATATTTGTCAATTTCCAGATCTCACCTCATAAACGCTGACGCGACATGTCTGACCACTAGACTCGTTCTTGCGCTCGTCAAGGAGATGCTGCAGGAGAGTGCCGGCCAGAGAGGTGTCAGAGATGGAGTTGTAAAGATCCTCCAGTCGGCCGTAAGACAGGTAGTCCAAAATGTTCAGACCATTGTCAATGAAGAGACGCACAAACTGGGGTTTATTGTTCATCAGGGCATCAGTCATGGAATCTTCTAGATCTTCATACTGCGTGTGCCAAAATATAACAACTTTAATCATTCACAATACATAATGCATAACAGATTAGTAGTTCATGTACATTTAAATATGAATACAAGGTTGTTGTTTTTTTTGAGTGGCCATAAATTCCTGTGCTCAAATGTATTGACCTGTCTGAACTTCGGAGAAATATGGGATGACTTGGTGAGTTAGTTAAAGTAAGTTTAATAGTACCATAACGTCTCAAAAGACACACTACTAGGGCTGCACGATAAATCGCATGCGATATTTAACGCGCATCTTGTCAGTAAAGCCGGTTCTTTAATCAGCGGTAAATCTCCATCACGTGCGTGCTTTCACATTGAGCAGCATTAACTACACAGAGCCGTTGTTCACATTTTGAAAGAAGTCTCTTCTGCTCACCAAGGCTGCATTTATTTGATCAGAAATAGAGTAAAACAGTAATATTGTGAAATGTCACTACATTTTAAAATAATGGTTTTCTATTTGAATATATTTTAAAATGTAATTTATTCCTGTGAGGCAAAGCTGAATTTTCAGCATCATTACTCCAGTCTTCAGTGTCACATGATCCATCAGAAATCATTCTAATATGCTGATTTACTGCTCAAGAAACATTTATCAATGTTGAAAACATTTGTGCTGCTTAATATTTTGGTGGAAACCGTGATACATGGTTTCAGGATTCTTTGATAAATAGAAGGTTCAAAAGAACAGCATTCAATTTAAATTGAAATGTTTTGTAACAATATAAATGCCTTTACTGCCACTTTTGATCAATTTATTGCATCCTTGCTGAATAAATGTATTCATTTCTTTCTTATGGGCCCCAACCTTCTGAACATTAGTGTACATAAAAATGATATTCCTTCATTTATGTGAATGTCATTTTCAGTTTATGCATTTGGCAGATGCTTTTATCCAAAGCGACTCTTCATTCAGTGTATACATTTAATCAATTCATGCATTTCCTGGGAATCAATCCCAAGACCTTGGCTTTTTTATTGCCATGCACTGCTGTTTAAACTACAGTAGCACTCAACAACTTGCCCTAGTTCAAAAGCTAATATTTCTTACAATTCGCTACTGTACCTTCCAGTCAATGTTTCCATTGAAGAGTTCACTCTTGGCAATGTCCACTCTGTTCCAGGTTACAGCCAGCTTCAACTCATCAACATAGGGATTAGTAGACACTGAAACCCGCTGTTTACTCGCTAACACACAGCAAAATGATATACATTAAAAGATATGACATGTATAAACACCAAAGTCCACTGTAGACAGGAGTTAGAAGTGGAAGTGAGGTACAAACACTGCAATAACCAGTTTAAGTTTACCTTGCACGAGCACTTTAAGCATCACAGTGTCGAAATCATCCGCTCCTTCTGCGTGATAAATGGAGATGAGGTCTTTTTTCTGATAGATGCTTAAAACCTTTCAGGAACCAGCCAATCAACAAGAAAAAATAAATAAGTCAGTTCTTTTAATATGTATAGCGTATGAAAGGGAAAGACATCAGATGTTCCAAGAACTGGAACTGATGGGAATTAATAGTATATCTCTAAAGACACTATTAGGTTATGGGGTAATGCAATCAAGAATATATGGAGAATTGTTTAAGTATTTAAAAAAGACAAGATTAATGGAAAGAATTTAAAGTTTGGAATTTTGTATTTATTTACATTTTATTATTATTATAATAATTTTTTTTTTTTTATTATTTATCTATAATAGTTGAATAATTCATAGCTGAACCGTGTACGTTTCACACTCCAGACCAGTAGGTGGCGGACATGCACCTTTAACGTTGGTTTGCCAATCCACCAAGTACTGTTTACTAACAAGGTGACCGCGCCAACTACTGGCCTGGCATACGTAATACAGCGTTTTTGACCGTTTTCGCGAATATGTGTAAACCGGCGTAAATGCGAATCGTTTTGAAAACGTTGTCGTGTATACATGAAACTTTTTAAAAACGCAAGGGAAAAACTTTTCCGTTTTTGACTACACCGTTGTCGTGTAAACGTAGCCTAAGATATCTCAATATTCTTTTAGATTTCAGTTCTTAACAACTGTTTCTTTTGGTTATCTTCATTTTAAGGCCTGTATGTGGTTCAGTCCTAGAAATATAGGGATCTCAATGTGGCTCAATGAGTAAATTGTTAAATTGTTCACATTTTCAGCAAACAAAAATCAAATGTTGGTCACTTTGAATACAGATGTTACTTTTTTTAAAAGAGAGATGTCCGAAGGAAAGAAAACGTTGAATGTTGTAAAATTTTTTAACTGTCATCATTGGCATTTATTGCAACAAAAATTGCTAAAGTCAAATTTTACCAGTAGACCTACCCCTGTAATGTGGCTCTAAATATCAGGTGAAAATTGTCATTTTGACACCCCTTTTCAAAATAGTGGAATACTCAGTAAATTCTAAGCCATGACAATAATATTCTGGCTTTCATCATTATTTATGTTTGTCTTTCTTCAGAAAAATGCTTTAAAAAATAAAAAATTTGAGCTGGGGAGGTTTCTGAAGTTCTGACACAAAATAGCCCACTTTGATGATGTTATATGATTAAGTAAAGAGTGTGACGTTCACCTTGTCAACAAGCTTGTCCATGTCTCGCTCTGAAGGAAAGTATTTTTTTACTTTCGTGGCTATTCGTTCTCTAAGCTCCACGTTGGGAGTGCCTTCCTCCTTCTCTGCTCCAAGTACAGGCACTGAAGCAGACTGCACGTTCTCCACGATGTCACTCACAAGATTGGCAAGCCCACCCGAACCAGCCAGGACCAACCAGGGCATTGAATTCATCAGAGAGGTATCTAATGCCTGAGATGAAGAGACATGGTAAAGGGCCGTTCACACAGAATGCATCTCTACGTCAAAAAACATGAGATGCAGCACGCAGGAATGGTAAAAAAAAAAAAAAAACTGCAGCGCCGCACAGAATGCCATGTTGCCGTCAAATAAAATAGTTGCCATGTCAACTTGCTACAGTAAACAAAAGCTCACAATGCGAGTGGCGCTGCATGTAAAAGTTGAAAATGAATTGGTTTCATTGAAACAACAAAGTTTGTTTCAATGAATTGGTTCAAATAACTGATTTACCAGTTTGTTTACGTAACCACACATTGACATCACGTATACGCAATTATATTAAAGTACTCAATGATGTGAAACGATGATGTTTTTTTATGTGAAACGAATGTTTTATAAACAAATTAAATAAAATTTAAGTCAATAAAGTTTTTGTTCCTGTTTTATTTATGTTGATGTCACAGCTTGCAGACGATAGCTACGCAAAAGCTTTGCAGGCTCTTGACTCTTTAGCTCCGCCCACGGCACGCATCCAGGAGCTTGACTGTTTTCAGAGAGAAGTGGTACAGCTGTATCTCTCTTTTATAAATCTGATAAAACTAAAGACTCTTTGGAGATATGAAGGATGCAGTTCTACTCTATAGGTACCCAAGATTAACATGAGATTGGCAGAAACTGTGCGTGTTATGTCCCTTTTAACTTGTAGATCTATGCTGGTCAAGCCAAGAAATGTTTCAGATTATTCATTCTGATTTGATGAACTGGTTCATCCAGTTCATTTAAAAGAACCAGTTCAAAAGAATGATTCATTTGCGAACTGGGTATCACTCCAGACCGTGTGCCTGTGGCTCTAGATTACAGGTAATAATGTTGTAAATAATGTTCAGTTTGTTGCACAGACCTATCGTTTAGCTTCATAACACATCAATATATCATCAGGATTCAAGGTATTAATTTTGTTTTTCCTGTATATGCTTTTTTTTTTACTCTCAAGTGCTGGTAGCCATTGACTTGCTTTTTATAAATTACCAAGAACCGTGGTTTCTGCTAAAAATCTTCTTTACTGTTCAACTGAAGGAAAAAAAAGTCACTTACATCTAAATTACAGTGGAAGTTTTGTGTTTAATAAAACTAATCTCCTCACCTCCACCATGGAAGTTTCTCCAGATATCAGCATATTCAGAACAGGAATCTCAATGCTTGCACTGCCTGCATATGAGATGATGCATTTAAGCAATTGCATATCAGTCAGTATGAAATCCTTGTTGCTATAATGAAACAGATCTTACAATAAAATACATAAAACATTATATTAAACACATAATATGTTTAAACATATTAAACATTACTAATGAATTTGATTGATATTGTTAATATAATTTCAGTTAATATAACGTTAAAGTTTCAGTAATATACTCATATTATTGTCAAACTTTGCCAAATTCTCTCATCACATTCCCTTCTGTGGACACTGCCTTTATACTAAAATGTATACCAAATTTCTTTATACTAAAAGATTTGTACTCTCTTGCAATAGCTCAAAATGACCATTAGGTGGCAAAAACCTCTCCCTTGTTCAAATCAAGGTTTTGCTGGTTAGCCTGTTACAAGTCTGTTCGATGAAACAACTGCAACGAATCCAAGCAATGTAAAGTCAACTCTACATCAATAATATTCTATCAAACACAAATGTATCATGAACATTTATAAACCATTCCTAAGAAGAGAAATGTGCCATTCAGTTTTATTTTGTACCTGGACGCTGACGTGAAATGTGATCCTCCAGACGGCCTCTGAAACTGACCTCCCCACCTTTACGTCCTACGGTCCCATCATCCACCAGAAGGAAAGCCTTGTAGTTATTATCCAGACACCAGGAGTCACGGGTTGCATTTTGGACAAAATACTTTGCAGGGAAACTTCCCTAAGAGAAACAGAAAGACACTGTTGTTCTGAAAGACATCTGCATATTGGGATATGATTTTTTGCACTTGAGTGTTATTGGGGAAGTCTGCCTTTTTTATCGACTATGTTCGGAATTGCATACTACCATACTCCTCTTACTATTTCTGAAGTACATAGCATGTATGCTCTGAACATTATGCTACGGAAGCTTGTTTTTGCCACAGAATAAAAAAAAATTTTCAAAAAAAAATACAATTGCTACTTTCTCACAATTCTGACTTTTTTTCTTGCTATTCTAAGGGGAAAAAAAGAATTTCGAGATATAAATCCTGAGATATAAGTCCAGCTCACTCCCGTTATCTCAGGGAACCGAGGTTACGTTAGTAACCAAAGCATTCCCTTTCAAAACAGTTTCTCTCTTGGGGAGCCATGTCTGGTTCCTCCAGAGTACAGCCACCAGGAGGACTGAGCATCCGACTTCCCTAACTCGCCTGATGACATGAGAGAGCAAGGCAATCGGAGCAAATGCATACAGGCGAGTGCTGGGCCGATCGTGGGCCAGAGCATCTCGCTCCTTGAAGAAATAAGTAGGGCAATGAGAGTTGTCTTCTGAGGCGAAGAGGTCGACGTCTGCCCTCTCGAAGACCGACCAAATCGTCTGAACCACTGCATTGATACATTGCCCCGGGACAGCATGTCTGCTCCTTGGTTCAGTCTGCCCGGCACATGAACTGCCCTGAGTGAACATAGGTTGCAATGTGCCCATAAAAGAGGTCTCGCCATCCTGTAGAGGGAGCATGACCTGAGACCGCCTTGAAAGCATTAGCATCAGCTCCTTAAAAGCCATTGCACGGAGGAGTTTGGCTTGAAACACTTGAAGCACCACCATCGTGTGAAGCACTGAGGCAGCCTGGCCAGCTGCTGAATAAGCCCTGCCCACTAGAGTCGAGGTGGTCCTGCAGGGCTTGGAGGGGTGCACAGTCCCAGGGCCGATGGAAGGCCTTTATTGAAGAAGGCAATCCGCGAGCGAAGCAGGGCGAGACTCATGCTCTCGCAGTGAAAGCAGTCTGTCTCAGTGTGCGCAGAACGTAACGTGGGCGCGGCTCAGGCAAGCCATGCACTCACTGTGCCCATCTGAGGCATGCAGGGGTGCCCGACACAAGCCACACTCGTAGCACGGCATTTGCAACAATGCCACAGAAATTTGCTCCTAGGAAATTAGCTTTTTGTAATCGCCGGATGGCCGCAGGGGAGAAGCGCTGAAGAGGAGCATCTTTCCGCTGCCGGGGCACTTCTACGGTGAAAGCAGGTTTCTTCGTTCTTCTTCTTCAGAGTCCAGTGAAGAGATGATCCCGGAAAAGCTGGGAGGTTTTAAAAGAGTGCTAAGGGCATTATACAAATGAATATATGAATTAATTAATTATATGAATGTACCTCTGAAGGTTCTGACTGTCTTCAGAAACGATTCGATGGCATTTTGTTTTCATCTTCGCTCCATGTAATACCTAA